TGGGCGCGCGGTGGCCCGCAGGGTCTGCCTGCTGCCCTCGGAGCGGGTTCCCAGGCTCCCTACCCCACTTGGTGCTCCCTCCGAAGCTTATCCAGGATGCGCTAAGCCCCGAGCTCGGGGTCCCCACCTGAGAGCGCGCAGTTCCGAAGGGGATTGAGGCACAGCGGGAGGGGCGTGTCAGCGGACACCAACCCAGCCCCACCTCCTGACTTCCGCTCTGAAGGGCGTCTCACCAGCCTTCGCTTCTAGTTTGCTTGGCTCTTCTGTTTCTTGTGTCTGCTTATCTCATGCTCTCGTGGAAGGGCCGGGATGAGCCTCTGGAGCAAAGCCAGTCTGCTCTGCAGATTTCTCTCTTGGACTTAGTGCACCTGCATTTTCCGGTGTAAACATTGTAAGGTGGTCACTTAAAGGGATGCTCTGGCCTAGGGTTATGTTGACATCTTTAGAAATTGTTTGTCTGCCGAGAAGACTGCCCTGGGAACAAGCCTGCCTCCCCAGGGTGTAGGTGGCTGCCAGAACTTCTGGGCTGTGGTGATCCAGGTGCCTTTCTGGGGCAGCACCGCGAGGGCCTGTTTGGCCTGGGAGGAGCCAAGGCATGAAGAGCTTTATAGGCCACACGAGGGGAATTTGGGTAAAAATGGACGTTAGTTGCAATGGGGGGCCAGTAGAGGGTTTTTTTAGGGGAGTGATTTAGCTGGGCGTGTGTTTGAAGAAGCTCACTCTTACTGCCTGTGGGAAGTGGATGGTCAGGGCAAGAATGCCATTGCAGTGGTCCTGAGAAGGACGAAGGGGCTTAGATTAGTGTGACAGCCGTTAGCACTTTGATGGGTCTTAGTGACCGATTAGAAGTAGAGGGTGAAGATAATGACTTCTGGGTTTCGAGCCTGAGCACCTGGGTGGGTGGTGGTCCCATTTGATGTAGGGGAAGGGGGAGGGGGTGGAAATCTAGGGTTGGTTTTGCTCTCACGTGTTAATTGGTGCTGTCCGTGGGCAGGTGGATGTGAGAGTTGGGAGTTCAGGACCACCGGGTAGAGGCTCGATCTGGGAGTTGGGACTGTGACTGGTGGCTTACGGGCCAGGGCCTGGAAGACAGTGTCAGGTAGAGGAGGAGGAGGAGGAGGAACTGAGCCTGGAGGAGCTCTAACATTTCCCAGTGGGGTCAGCAAGTGCTGGGACAGGTATACTTGAGAAGCATCAGGCAGTGAGGTGAAAGGACACCCAGGAGTACATGGAGTCATGGAAACCACCAGAGGACTGCTGGGGTTAAGGGACAGCACTCCACCACCCCCTCCCTTCTCTCTCACACACACAAACCACACACACACTGTTCTGATGCTGTGGAATCCAACAGGACACTGATGCCTGTTGCATTTGACAGCACAGAGGTGACACTGGTAAAGGAGGTTTGGGGGTATGAAGCGGCAGGGGCAGGGGAGGGAGGGAAGTAGTGACGGCAGCTCTTTCCAGAAGTTTGTCAGTGAAGGGAAACCTAGAGGGGAAGTAGTGCTGAGGGGCAATGTGGTAGAGAAGACGGAGATTCTGCTGTGCCTTATGCTGGAGGGATTCTGCCCGAGTAGGTGGAAGAGGGAAGGGGTCTCAGGAGGAATGCAGGCCTGAGGCAGGAGAGAGGGCAGGTCAGGTGGCTTCTAATGAAGCACGAGGCGAGGACATTTTGAGAAGAGGGAGAAGAGGAGGCCTAAGCTCACCCAGGCTGTGGGAAAGTGAGGCTTTTAGAGAAACAGTAGGATTTCCAGCAGTATGGAGGACCCACTCAAGAGTCACCATTATGAATTTAAAGTGAAACCATTTGCTCAGGTAGCTCCGCTGGTTAGAGCATTGTCCCAAAACACCCAGGGTTGGGGTTCGATTCCCAGTCAGGGCACATATAAGAATCAACCAATGAATACATAAATAAGTGGAATAACAAATCAATGTCTCACTCTCCCCTTTCCCCCTTCCTCTTTCTCTGTAAAAATCAATAAGTAAAATTAAAAAATAATAAAGTGAAGCCAGTTTCTAGATGAACATTTAGCTGTTTCCAGAAGGGAGGTGGTAGCGTTTATTCAGAGTTGGGTGTTTTGTCAATTAAGGAATGTGGACAGTCAGGGACCCCATAATCTAAGCTGGACAGAGTGACCTGAAACCAGGAGGGGCTGACAGATAATGTCTGCAGAAAGCCAGCTGCTTCCCTTCTCTTAGGCAACATGGATAAGCAGAAAAGCTCCTCCCAGCCCGTCACCTAGGTCCTGTGTTCTCTATTTTAAAGACTAGCATGAGGCATGATGTAACTGTGGACAACGTTCTTTCTTTTTAGGAAATTTGTGCTACTCCCCGGCTGTTTCCAGATAACCCACAGGAAGGGCAGGTGAAGCAAGGGCTTCTGGGGGACTGCTGGTTCCTGTGTGCCTGCGCCGCCCTGCAGAAGAGCCGGCACCTCCTGGACCAGGTGTCTGTGATAGTGCAGCTTTCTCTTCTGCTCTGTCTTCCTGCCTGCTGTACCCAGGAAGGAAGGAAGAGGCCAGGCAGCTGAACTCCGTGTTCTGTGGGGCTCTGCTGCAGCTGCTCAGCATGGCAGTGGGGAGCTCAGCTGTCAGGCCACAGGGGCTCCCAGGCACAGACGCGGTTTCCCCTCTCCCGCAGCAGTACTTTCTGCCCCGCTCTGCCAAACCCCAAGCCCACTTCTTACAGAGTCAGAGCCATGCATCTGAACTAGAAAGTCAAACGTGCCAGCCTAGACAGGAAAGGGTTGGCTGAGGGAGCCTGTGACCTGGTTTGGAATTAGTGTCCTTAGCGAGTTAGCTTCTTAAATAGGTTTTAAATATAAATTGGCAAAAGATGATTGAAACTCTTTCTGACAGACACCACAGGTAAAGAAGGCCTGCTCAGACTCCCTCCCTGGACTGTTGATGGCCTTTTGTTTGGGTTCTTGCTAAGTATCACCAATGAATGCAGCAATGTTCATTGACAGTGGTGACCCCATTCAGAGCGCCTCCTGGGTCCCAGGCCCCATGCTAAGTAAGTGCAGCACATCGCTGGCTTTCACTCTCATAGGCCTCACCCGCTGTGACCCATTTTCACCAATGAGGGCACTAGAACCATTGTCACTGTTTTCCGGCTAGTGAGTGGCATTGCCAGGACCAAACATGTGTTCATTGACAGTGGTGACCCCATTCAGAGCGCCTCCGGGGTCCCAGGCCCCATGCTAAGTAAGCACAGCACATCGCTGGCTTTCACTCTCACAGGCCTCACCCGCTTGACCCATTTTCACCAATGAGGAACTAGAACCATTGTCACTGTTTTCCGGCTAGTGAGTGGCATTGCCAGGACCAAACATGTTGTCTAGATGCACAGCCCACACTGCCTCTCGGGTCAAAACAAACCTGGCAGTGAACATGGATCCAGGTGCTGGCAGAGGTCCTGGGCTTCAGGCGTTTGCAGGAGGGTTGCTATGCCCATGGTGACCTGCCATCTGCAGCCAGCTCTGCTGAGATTGGGTCTCATGCTTCTAAAAGTCACATTTGTTTTGGATTCAGGTCAAGGGCTTATTTGGGACATTAGGGCATAATGGTTGACTTTAAGCTTTGGGAGACACTGGCTCCCTCATTATGGTCTTAGAATATTTTATTGAGAAGTCTGGATTTTCAGTCCAATGGTTGGTTTTCCAAGGCATGGAATGAGGGCAGATCCTTTGCAGACCGCAGGGTACTGTGGGACGATGCAGTGTGGTCACACTGGTTAGCACGCTGGGTGGGCGCTGCGAGATGTTTGTCACATGGTCTCCTTTTGCCTTTCCCTGTGCACGGTAGGTCTTTCTTCCGGGACAGCCGACCTGGCTCGACCAGACATACCGTGGCTCCTTCACCTGTCGAGTTTGGCAGTTTGGACGCTGGGTGGAGGTGACCATAGATGACCGTCTGCCTTGTCTTGCAGGGAGACTCTGCTTCTCCCGGTGCCAGAGAGAGGATGTGTTCTGGCTTCCATTACTGGAGAAGGTCTATGCCAAGTACGTGTGCTGGAGGCTGGCGGGCTGGGCCATGCCACCTTAGACTGCCCCCGGGAGCATGTTTCCGCTCCCTCGCTGCAGAATCCTGTCGTTTCCAGGCGCTTGGCGGCAGGTCCTGGGGTGAGGCTGACTGGTCTGGAGACGGGAACTCTTGAGGCTTGGCCTGTGGTTTGCCTCCCTTTCCCTGCCCTTATTTCACAGCTGGGCATGAGGGAGGGTATGTGTTTTCTTCCTTTCTCTTTCCTCAAACCCCAGCAAGAAAGATGTTTCCATCTGTTTGTTTTTCACCCCTGGGGACAGGCTGCCTCTCTGCAGGTTGTTGGGGAAGAAAGAGGCCAGCTAGGTATTAGCCTTTTTATCTGGTCCTGACTGAGCCCAAGACCCTCATGCAGAGTGAATCGAGGCCCTTCCCTCCTAGAATGCATTTACCATCTTGCTGACAGTGAACTGATAGGCAGGCCTTTGCACTGAGGACAGGAGGGAGGCCTGCTGCTGACATTGGGTTGGATCCCATCAGATGGAGTGGATGTCACAGCCTCTGCCCACGTGCCTCACGCTTGTGCCCACACTGGCAGTAGAAGAGGTTTTGCACGTAGGCAGCGGCGGCTGGGCTTTGCTGGGACACTGAATGTCAGCCGTGAAGGCGTGATTGCTTCTGGCTGTGGTGAGGGCGAGGCGGCAGGAAAGAAAAGCGATTGAAGCCGGGTGGGTGGGATCACAGGATGATTTGGAGTGTCATAGACCAAGAGGATAGAAGAGAGGCAGGGTGCTGCTCCCCTTGCCTGAGGCTCATTCCTGTGTCTGTCTTGCAGGGTCCATGGGTCCTACGAGCACCTATGGGCAGGGCAGGTGGCAGATGCCCTGGTGGACCTAACCGGTGGCCTGGCAGAAAGGTGGAACCTGAAGAACTTGGCAAGCAGCAGAAGCCAACAGGATGGGTCTGGCGGCTCAGAACCCAAGACTTGTTGGCAGCTGCTCAGCCTCAAGGAGCGGTGTCTGATCAGCTGCTCAGTGTTCAGCCCCAAGGCAGGTGAGGCGGTGGTCACCCAAAGGGCCTACACACATGCACCCTCAGATCCTGTAGGCAATCCCTGAGGCCCTGTCTGCACTGAGTAGAAAGTGGGGACATTTGTCTTCCCAAGCTGGTGTCTGGCTGTGTGAACTTGTTCTGCTGTCTGCCCCTCTCCAGAGGGAGAGGTCCCTTTTCCCTTGACTAGGACTTACCTCCAGGGCAGGCAGGTGCCTGTGTGAGGTCACCGCTGTGCAGAGATGGCCTAGGAAGCATGTGGTGGCACCATCTCTGGCTCAGCTGGCAACCTGTGAAATCAGCACTCAGGTTTCCACTGTAGTGATATGTATGTTCATTGAAGAAGTGTTGTTGAAAGGAAAAACTCCCTCAAACGTAGCTACCTTTGACTTTTTAGTATGCTTTCTCCGTTTTTCATAAACGTACCTTTTGCATTCTGCATCCTAGATCATTTTCTATGTTACATACACTTTGTCAACTTATCGCATTAGTGGATCTGCCGTAGCTTCTTTCATCTTTCCCTTCATGTTGGAAGTTTAAGGTCTTTCTGATCTTATGCTGTTATAAATAACAGCATCTTTATGCATACAAGTATCCTATTTAGTATTATTTCCACAATGGAATTTTATATATATATTTTTTAATTGATTTCAGAGAGGAAGGAGGAGAGAGAGAGAGATGACAGAGAATCATTGATCAGCTGCCTCCCACACACACCCTATTGGGGATTGAGCCTGAAACCTGGGCATGTGCCCTGACAGGATCAAACTGTGACTTCCTGGTTCATAGCTCGACACTCAACCATTGACCCACACCGGCCAGGCTACAATGAATATTTTGTCAAAGACTATGAACGTTGAAATAAATTGGCTCTTGTTGACAATTATGCTACCCTGGTGTGTGTGTGAGGGTTGGCACAGGCCTGGGTCAGGCTCCTCCCCTGAGGGTGGGCTAGACATGGGCTGCTGGAGGTCACCTGGACCCCACTAAAGTGGCAAGGGGCTGGGGACGTGGGTGGCAGCTACAATGCCATTCTGAATAAATCATTTAGAGACAGTCCAGGAGTTTCTTCTCTTTGCGTTGGACCACCACCCCTCCTCTCCAGGTAGGTGTCATCCTGTTTGGCTCCTTCTATGTCTTCTGTCTCTGGTCTCAGGGCAGGTGGAGTCGTTTCTCCTCGGACCTCCAGTCTTCCCACTGCCCATCCATCCCCTGCCTCCCCAGTTGGCATTGCCAAGTGATCTCCCTTTTCCCTTGGTGGTCACAGACTGTTGATGACAGTGCTAACAGTAGCACTTTTGAGACCTGGCCCTGCACCAGGCGTCCTGCATGACCATGTGGCCAGCTAGTGAGGCCCAGAGAAGGGAATGAGCTGCCAGGCCTGGTCCAGTTCCCTCGCTGGGGCTCTATGCTGGCTAAGGCCACTGCTGAGCTAACTGTCCACAGTGGTTAGGAAAGGAGCCCCCGGTGATCTGTGGGATCTGGGTGCCTGTGGGGCCACAGCTGGCGGGGGCTGGACCAGTCCCCAGGGAAGGAGACAAGACCTGTGCATCTGCTGGGTTTGGGGATTTCTGCCCTTGACTGAGCTGCTCCTCGCCTAGGTGCCAGGGAGCTGGGGGAGTTTCACGCCTTCATCATCTCGGACCTGTGTGAGCTCCGGGGTCAGGCTGGTCAGAGTATCTTGCTGCTTCGCATTCAGAACCCCTGGGGCCGGCGTTGCTGGCAGGGGCCCTGGAGAGAGGGGTGAGTGCAGTTGGGGGCCATCAGGGGGGGGTGGTGTGCAGGCTCAGAGGGACATCCTGGGCTCCCATGCCGTGGTTGGTGCCATGGTAGCTCTGTGGTCAGGATAGTGCTCAATTGGCTCCCAGCAAGGCCCCCATAACCCCAAGGCCACATGGTCTGTGCTTGGCCTCAGGTGGTCTAGGAGGCTGGCTTAGTGCTTGGTACTGAGGGTGCCCATAGAACAGTAGACGCCCAGTCAGGCTAAGGGACAGGGACCTATGAGATGCCTATGCTATGTCCTCAGCTTGGCTTTAAGACTCATAACTGATGGACGAGGGCGCTGCGACAGTCCCCTTAGGTGGCAGGGGTGGTGAGCAGATGTCACACTTGGTCTGAGCAACCACGCCTGAAGCGATGGGCAGATGTCCTGTCACTGCTCACTGACCCATTCTCTCAGCCAGGTCATGTGGTAGGAGCAGAGGTGATGGTCCTGAGGAAGGTTCAGCCCAGGGCAAATGGAAGCGTGGGAAGGGGGCCATGGAGTTTGGCCCCAAGGTGCTGGCAGGGACAGGGCTCTCAGGACACCCTCGGTCCCCTCTGGCTCCTCTTGCCCCACTGCACGGTCAGTGCTGTCACTCTCAGATGAGAGATCTCTGATGACTTGAGTTTCCTGCCAGGGGTGAAGGGTGGACCCAGGTGGACCCAGTGGACTCAGCGGAGCTGCTGTCCCAGCTCCAGGAAGGGGAGTTCTGGGTGGATGAGGAGGAGTTTCTCCGTGAATTTGACGAGGTCACCATTGGCTACCCGGTCACGGAGGCTGGCCACCTGCAGAGCCTCTACTCAGGTAACCAGTGCCATTCCTGGGGCAGCCTTTGGGGGTGCAATGCAGCCACCCAAATGGACTCTACCTTCAGAAGTCAAACCTGAGCAGGCGCCCGCGTCCCCCTGCGGTGGCTCCCGGTGGGGGAGGCAGGTGTCTGTGAGGGTGGGGAGCCTGACCTGTGGTGTGCTCTTGCCCTAGAGAAGGTGCTCAGCCACACTCAGGAGCTGCCGGGGGCCTGGGTCCCGGGGCAGTCCGCAGGAGGCTGCCGGAACAACAGCGGCTTTCCCAGCAACCCCAAGTTCTGGCTGCGGGTCTCAGAACCGAGCGAGGTGTACATTGCTGTCCTGCAGAGGCCCAGGATGCGCACGGTGGACTGGGCTGGCCGGGCCCAGGCACCAGTGAGGGACAGCCGCGTGGTGTGGAGCCCGGCCAGCATCCTGGGCAAGGACTACCCTGCCGTGGGTCTGCATCTCTGGAAGGTACCTCCGCTGGGCCAGCTTCCCACTCACTGACGTACAGGGTCGGATGGGAGGCACGTGGATGTCTGAATCCTCGGAGCTGCAGTGCTGGGTACACGTGACTGACAAGAGCCCCACAGGCCTCCCCGCTGCCCTGGCTGTCCTGGGGATCATGTGCCTGTGGGGGCTCCCACAGACCCGGCACTGGGAGGACTGGGTGTGTCTGTGGGCCAAAGGAAACCAGAACCAAAGCCTCGAGTCGGCGGGGCTCTGGGGGCTGGTGTTTGTGGAGGTCTGAGCCCAGCTTGGTCACTTCTTGTGGGACCTGGAGAGGTCACTCCACCTCCCTGCACCCTCAGTCTCCTCCCTATCAGGTGGGGATGGTGACGGCTGATCCTGTGGGATTGTGCAAGGAGCCCTCTGGACCCCAGTGGAGATGCCTGTCCTGGGAACAGGAGCATGGCTGGTGCAGGAACTTGCCTGTTTGCTGCCAGGGCCTAGTTTTTAGTCTGTATGTCCTGCCAAGGTCTCAGCACAAGGCACAGTGTTCCCTGTCCCTTTGTGGGTGTGGCTTACATTGTGTTCCTTTCCTCCCGCTGAGTTGCTGGAAAGCCTTTTATCCAGCAGCCCCAGGTTGCAGTAGCCGTGGGCACAGCCCTTTTGCATCTGTGTGTCCTGGAGCAGTGGGTCCTGCAGGCTCTCGTGGGGACAGGCTGAGTGGAAGCCCAGGGTCATGGGCATTTTCAGCCGGCCCCTGGGAGGTGGAGTGCTTTCATGTGTTAACTCTTTGGGGAGAGGCCCTGATGCCAGGAGTGGGTGGGGCGGGTCTCTGTGAGTTCCCACACAGGCCTCCTCTCCACAGGTGGAGAAGCGGCGGGTCAGCCTGCCCAGGATCCTGTCCACACCCCCTGTGGCTGGCACTGTGTGCCATGCTTATGACCGTGAGGTCCATCTCCGCTGTGAGCTCACCCCCGGCTACTACCTGGCCGTGCCCAGCACCTTCTTAAAGAACGTGCCAGGACAGTTTTTGCTCCGGGTCTTCTCCAGCGGGAGAGTCTCCCTCAGGTGAGGGGCCTGGCCATTTCTTTGGGGGCCTGTGTGCTCCTGCCTTGATCAAGGCAGGCCAGACGGTGCCTTTAGCCCCCGTCCTGTGCTTATCTTTCCCGGGCAGTGCCATCAAGACAGTGGTCCAGAGCCCTGGCCCTGGGGAGACCCTGTTGGCGGGGGAGTGGGAGACTGTGCAGCTGCAGGGCTCCTGGAAGATCGGCCAGACGGCCGGGGGCAGCCGGAACTTTGCCTCCTACTCCAGCAACCCCTGCTTCCCCCTCACGATCCCTGAGGGTGCAGGCCCCCGCTGCGTCCGGATCACTCTGCACCAGCACTGCCTAGACAGCGACTGCCACCCCATCGGCTTCCATGTTTTCCAGGCAAGCCCTGCGAGCTCTTGGGGGTCGGGGGGAACTGTGAGCCAGGGTGGGGTGGGGCATGATGTGGATCCCTGGACTTGGTCATTTGGGCATGTTGCCCAGGCTGGCCGGTCATGTGCATGACTCATTTCTAGGTTTCATAAAGTTTGTAATTCACTGGGGGTCACAGGTAGCTCAGGCATCCCCTTGTCCCTTTGCTCTGGCTCAGAACAACTGTGTCATGGGGTCAGTTCTCCCCAGGACGGTGCCTCCCACTCAGGAGGCCCAATGGCATCACTCGGGAGTGATCAGTCAAACACCAGCAGCACCCCAGAGCTGTGTAACCCTGCCCTCTGCCCATGGCCCGCAGCATGAGGCTTTTCCTGGGTGTGTGTGTGCCCCTGAGAGCCAGGGAGAAGTGGGTGATGGCAAAGGTTTGTGGCGAAGCGCAGTAAAGGGGGTATGGGGAAGGCCGCACTGGCTGAGACCATTGGGGAATTGACAGCCACTCTGCTGCCCAAATGGCGCTGCCAGGAGTTTCAGATCAGAAAGAAAACACAAAGCCAGGTGGTGGTGAGGAGCTCGCAAGGTCCCCGAGGTTCTCGGGGCCAGGCAGCTCAGTCAGGGCTACAGTGGGCTCAGCTGTGTGGGGTGGCTCCTGAATCCCAGACAGGTCCAAGGAAAGAGGAGGCTTCCAGGGACTCAGGCTGAAAGTATGTTGTCCCCACTTTCTACCTAGAATGGCTGTGAGCCCAGAGGAGTCCAGAAGGGGGTGCTGCCAGTGAGTCATAGCCACCCAGAGTGCCTTCCTTGGCGGTCGGCTCTCTCCCACCATGTAGGCAAAATGCTTAGCAGACCTGTAGTTAGAGGAAGGGGAGAAGTCAGAGGTTGCAGGCCCAGACCGCATGGCCAATGAGGCTTCCCATCCCACACACTGTTGTGCTCCCGGGGGCCCAATTCTAGACGGGCAGGGTGAAGTGGCCGGTGTTCCAGGATCTGAGGGGGAAAGGGACACACGAAGCCTGGAGCACAGGTGATCTGGGGGGGAGGGTAGGATTTTCTGATTGAGAAGGTTCTCTACCCTAGAGAATGGGCAGAGCTGCTGAGAAACCCCCACTCCCAGGAGCTTGGGAAAAAGTGCCAATGGCCAGTAGGTGCCTCTGGGCCTAAGCAGGGGCAATTTGGGTGGTTCCCAGGCATGGGCACCTGACACCTGATGGGGTTTCCTGGCAAGGGTGGCAGGGCCTCAGTGAGCAGTGAGCCCAGCTTTGGGGAGCTGTTGCTCCTCCTTGGAAGGGGGCGCATGTATGGTGGGGGACCAGGCATGAAGCCCCAGGAGGTCCAAGCAGACTGCAGCCGGGGCTGCTCCAGCCCAGCACACCCTCAGCTTGTCCCCAGACGGGGCTGCTTTGGGTCTGGGAAAGTGCAGCCCAACGGAGACTGAGGACAGTGGGTGGACCTCTCCACCCCATGGACAGGCTTCCTAGTCAGTCTGTGCCTCTCCAGGTTCCAGTGGACAATGGGGGCCAGGGCACGCCCTCCCTGCTGCTCCAGAAGCCTCTGCTGAGCTGTGTGCCACATTGCTACACCCAGGAAGTGAGCCGCGTCTGCCACCTGTCTGCAGGGACCTACAGGATTGTGCCCTCCACCTACCTGCCAGACACAGAGGGGGCCTTCACGGTGACCATCGCAACCAGAATAGACAGGTGGGGCTGTGGCGGGCTGTCGTCCTGAGGACCTCAGTGCCCACCTTCACCGTGTTCTCCCGCCTGCCTCACAGTACCTGGGGACTCCTTGCCTGTCAGCCTATGGGCGTGTAGATGGGCCTGAGTGCTGGGGCGGGGCCCTGGGCTGACCCAGGTGTTCTTTCCCACAGGCGCTCCATTCACAGCCAGGAAATGCTGGGGCAGCTCCTCCAAGAGGTACATGGGGCCTGAGAGGGGCTTCCTGGTGTCCTGAGGCATGAGGTGCACTGTGTCTTCCCTGCTGTCCAGGGCAGCCACTGCCCACACCTTACCATCTCTCCTTTCACAGGCCTCCTTCATGGCAGTGATGAAGACCTAACTGGATAACCCCACTGGAGTCCTCAGAGGCCTCCCTTGGCCCACGATGTCCTCACACAGCATCCTTGCACGGTGCCACCAGCCTCAGTGCTGTAGCTGCCAGTCCTGCACTGAGCAGCTGCATGTGCCTGTGGCACTAGGTGAAGGTTCCTCATCCTGGAGAGAGGCAGCCCCAGGGTCAGGCAGGTGCTGCAGGGAGAGCAAGAAAGGCCCAACATGAGTGTCCTGGTCCCCAAGCCATGACAACAGCTCCGTGGAGTCCCTCCGGGCTCCAGAGAGGCCTCAGCTGACAGACAAGTGTGTCAGCACACAGCTGTTTGCAGGACTTCTGGATGTAACTTTATAAATAAACAGGAATACTGAGCAGTTCACAGATGTCTTATTTCAGGCAGGGAGACACTGGGAGGATCGCAGCCTCCAAGGTGGGGAGGTTCAGGGAGGAGGAGGGTGGTGAGGAGACAAGGTTTGGAGGGTCGAGGAGGATCTGGTGCACAGGGCAGGTGCAGGAAGGATGCTTCCTGCCATCTCCCCATCTGGCAGCCTTGCCATCACCAACCAAATGGTATTCCCAGGTTTGGAAAGGCAGGCACCGGAGAACTCGAGGCCTGGTGTTTCGCTGTGCAGCGTTGCCTCATGCAGTCAGTGCTGACACTTGGAAGGGGATGTGCCTGGGACCCCTTCCCATATCCGACACAGCAAACCCCATCTTGCCCCTCCGACTCAGTCCACATCATGTCAGCATCAGCCAGGGCGTCCAGCCAGCTGAGTGTCCTGGGAAGAACTGGCACTGCCTATTGTCCTGTCCGCACAGTGACCTGCTTCTGAGCTTTCCCAACTGCCCTACATGGCCGCACCCTGTACCTGAGGCCTAGTGATCTGGACTGGGGCTGCCCTGCGGTGGAACCTCCAGTCCATAGGGGCCACACGAACTCTAATGGAGGCACAATGGAGCCACCACTCCCACATCTTCAGGGAGGTCCTCGTGTTCAACCCCTGTGGTGCCAGTGTTACCATTGTAATTAGTTATTAGTATTAATAGGAAAGGAGCAAAGGGGAGGTCAGACATAAGCATAGCCATCTGGGCAGCTTCCCCAGGGACCTGCAATTTCACACCACCAGGGAACCACCAGTCCAGTCCCTGCAGGTCACTGGCAGAAAGGACTGGACAAAGAGAAAGATGGGGGTATGGGCAGTGAAGTGGGTGATGTAAGGAAAATACTTGCCTGTCAGTCTAACCTTGGAACAAAGATAATTGGCCAGAGGGGTGGAGCCACAGCAAGCCTGAGTAAATTTGGGAATATATAATCCTGAGACAAAGGAATTCACTCTTGTTCCTCTGGCTTTGTCCTGCTTCCTTTGCTCCTGTGTGTTCTCTCCATAGCCGTGTGGCCCTAGAAACTACAAGGCCCATGGCCAAGTGGACCCTACACACAATGGGCTGCAGCTGGGAACAGTAGCCGTGTGGCCCTAGAAACTACAAGGCCCATGGCCATGTGGACCCTACACACAATGGGCTGCAGCTGGGAACACAGGCTAAGCTAGCCAGATGCTGCCCTGGACTGTGCACATATGGAGTGGAAACAACACTGGCTTTAATCCTAGCTTTGCTGAAGACAAAATAGGACTTTTTCCTTGGTGGGACAGAGGAAAAGGGGAACTTGGAAACTCAGGGGTTTAATTCCACACAAATAAACACCACTTATTCTCTCATGTGAATCTCAGAAAAGTCCTTTTCTTGTGACATCACAAGAAACCTACTTCCACAGGCAATAGGTGGGGACACAGAGAGCACCCCACCGATAATACCAGCTTTGGTTGGTGTCTGTAGGGTGGAAAGGTTTCCGTGTCCCCTTGGCCTTCCTGACTGACATGCCTGACCCACCAAGGGTGCTGGTCATATGCCATGTGTCAGCCCCAATTATGTGCTTAGAGACTAGGAAGTGACCCCAAGAGCCCACTGTCACCACTGATTGGTCAAGCCAGCTGTGCACCCCTGCTCCGGGCAGATCGCTGGCCCTGGGGGCTGCTCCAGCTGAGGAGCCTGCACCTCTGGGCTTTGTCATCCATCCATCTTCTGTTTTCCACTTGTTTTGCTGGAAGCAGTTTGATTACATGGAAAGTGAGAAAGCCAAGCATTATGTCACCCATTAAGATTCCCCGCAGGGTGGCCCTATGTATGTGTGTGTGTGTGGGGGGGGGGGGGGCCGTACCACGCTTCCAAAGGAGGAGGCTATGGTAGACAATGTGAGATGCAGCTAACTGCCCCCATCACATCTGGGCAAGGGGCCCAGAACTCTCAAAGACAGGGGCTAACCTTTCCGGGGCGGAGGGGTGCGGGTGGCAGCTGGAGCTGGCTCCTCCCCAAAACCCTTGGGTGACTCACCCTTTCCCCTCCGAGGCACCCTGGCTGTGGCGGGATCTGGGGACAAGTCTTGGTCTCTCGTTGGGTGGTGGGGAAGGACTTTTTTGGCAGAAGGCCCAGTTGGGGCCCCACTGCGGGCTGGTGAGGCAGTGGCCCTCCGGGCTTCCAGGACCTGTGTGGTTGGGGCAGTCGGGCATGGTCTCCATGCCCCTCCCAGCCAGCCCCTCCTGCCTGGGCCTGAGCTGGCCTTACATGGACCTTACAGACACAGGCAGAGCTGAAGGAGACCTTCCCTGGGCAGCCTCTGCAGCCACAGGGCCTGGGTCCACTCAGTGCAGCCAGTCTCTGGTCTTCAGTCTCTGGACTCTAATGTCCTTATTGAAAACCTGTCTGGGCTCTGTTCCCATTCACAGTGTGCCCCCCACACCCCCATCCCGGCTCTGGCCCTCTGATTTGCCCTGGAGTCCTTGGTAGCCTGGGGGGGGGGGGGCAGCCTGTCCAGAGGAGTGGAGGAACATGGGCTATTCCCCATTCTTCCAGGGTCTGAGCAGGTCCCCCTCCCGCCCCATGGCCTATCTCCCATGCCTGAGACACCTGGGCCTCAGTCTTTGTATTCTCACGTCTGTGACTGGTCCAGAGCCCAGTGCAGGGCAGCCTGGGCTGAGCTGGGGCTCCATGGAACCCAGAGAAGCCTGCCCAGCCAAGCTGAGTGCCAGCACTGAGCCCAGGGCTATGTCCAGCCAGAGCCAGCCCATCTGGTGTCCATCCCCAGATGGTCTGTGGACCTGCCAGTAGGGGGTGAAGACTGCCTCCCTCCTGTGCACAGTAGCCCGCAGTCGCAGTCGGCAGGCAGTCGTAGCGGCAGGTGTGGGTGTGTGCAGGTAAGAACAGCTTTCCCGCCCTTCTCAGCAGACTTTGCCCGCTTTGTTTGCAGTTTCTTCTCATTTTCACTTCCTGCTGCAGAGGCATGGTGCCTTCTCCGGGGGAGCCCTGTCTTACCCAGTCCTGGTCCTGGGTCTTCTCTCTAATGTCTTCGCCCACCCTCCCTCCCCCAGGCCTGGATCAGCGTCGGGGGTGCTAGAGCTTCTGCGGTGAGTACTGAGACCCCGGGGCCCTGCGAGCAGGTAGACAGGGAAGGGGCCTGGCCTGCCGGACTTCCTGGACAGGAGGCGGGATGGAAAAGGCGCAGGGACAGCCAGACTGCAGCCAAGTTCTCAGATGTTCCAGGCTCTCTTCTCTCTGTCTCTTTGTTCACAATAATTTCTTGCTCAGTGTCCCATGGATGCTTCATTTGATTTTCCTGGATTTCGCCCCCAACATTTAACAGATTTAAACTGGTTTTGCTGCATTTTGAGGTGAATAGAAGAGTCATGTTGCTCCTGGGAACACTTTGGGGTCTTTGGACATGGCTGTGCTCCTTACGGGGAGGGTCTTCTCCAGGGTTGAGGATGAGTTTGGGGACAGGCTGTGCCCACCAGCTCCCTCTAGTATTCAGTTCTGCAGGTCTGAGGTCCCCGGATAGTCCTGACAAGGAGGTGGCAGATGATGTGTGGGGATGGTCCTTGATTAGGGTCAGCCAGGAGCAGGGCAGAAGCTGGCAGGAGCTGGGCATCCTCAGGGAATGAAAAGGAGCTCTCTGTGCCTGCAGCGCAAGTGGGAGAGGGGCAGGTAAGGAGAACATGGCGAGCGCTAAGGCTGGAGGGGTAGGTAAAGGAAGGGCCTTGAGGCCCTTTAAAGAGCTTGGGTCTTTTCTCTTGGGCAGGGGCAGACATTGCAGTTTTAAGCAGGGCCCGGTGTGAATTTATTTGACATCTCCCTCTGGCTGAGGTCTTGGGGATAGACTGGAGATTGGGGACCAACTTGAGACATCCAAGGAACACATGGTTGCAGACATCCAAGGAACACATGGTTGTTTCCTAGCTGGGCGGGAGGTGGTGGAGGCCGAGAGAAGAGGTCGGTGTCTAGATATGCCCAGGAAGCAGAACCAGCAGACATGAGGCTTTAGGGTTTGATTGTATAGATCAGTGGTCGGCAAACTGCGGCTCGCGAGCCACATGCGGCTCTTTGGCCCCTTGAGTGTGGCTCTTCCACAAAATACC